CACACACACACACACACACACACACACACACACAAATCTGTCCCTCACACACCACCTATTCACTGTTTTCCCTTTTTCCTCCAAACACACACTTCCTCTGGTCCATTCACGCCGTCGAGGCTGTTCCTCTGTAACACAAACAAAAGCACACACACACACACACACACACGCTAACGTTAGCCTAGCCTCTCTCTCTTGCACAAACACATATTCGCTCACGCAGCGTGCAGCCACCTTTTTTTGTCGCAGCAGATGGCATGTGTCACAATATTACGGCAGTATTTCATTAACATTATGGGCATCCATCTGCTGTGGGCGCTCAGGCCTCCATAAAGCGCCTTGTTTTGGTCACTTACAGACGAAGAGATAATAAACATTGTTAGCGGTGTGTACTGGACGGAGCCACATGCTCTGGTTGTGGAGCAGCACAGGAATCGTCCTTCAGACTCGTATATGTTGTCCAGGATGTCGTATATGTTCCACCATAGGACTGGTGGGTTCTCTTTTCTCCTCCCGTGTAGCGGTTCTGCACTTGATTTAGTTTTTAATAACATAACAGGGGCTGAAATCGTCCCTGTTCCCTTCCTATCCTGTTAGCGGGACCATATGCTAGCATGTACATCGGTACCACCTGCAGCCAAGTTTGCAAATGAATGCCAGCCGTCCGCCAAACACGGCCACATATGTGAAGCTTTTATTTTTTATTCTGCTTCAGCGGCGAGTCGGACAGAAACTGTGGTGAAAGAGAGCAGAGTGAAGGTTTGGCCAGCCGGGAATCAAACCGGAGACTCACTGCTGATTGCATTTGCACCCATGTGGTGCTAACGCTAACCGTACGGCTATCGGGTCGCCACAAACATGGCCACATCTGAACTGGTTGGAATCTGTGAAACCTTTTTTATGTAGAATTTTAATGTGACTTTTATGCGGATGCTGCCAGCCTCACTTCGGCCTGGTTGGCCCTCGTTGGCAGCTAAAAAACCCTAAATCTTACTTTTAAGGTCGACTTTTCTTCTGAGGTGAACGAGACTGAAGAGTTTTTGAAGGAAACCCAAATGACAGCTGATCAACATGGATTGAGCTAAAACTGCTCATAGAGAAAACCTCCACCAGCAGACACTGGGTTTGTACATCTGAGGATGGAGTCAGACAAACAGTTCAGCTTCCTGAAGGCGACGGATGTGATTTATCTCAACATTTGTAGTTCAACCTGAACATAAATTACTTTTAAATGCAGAATCTAAACGCTTTTGTTTGTCAGTTCACACTTAATTAGTGAAACTGAGCCGCTTGCTTTTAGTGAAATCACTGCCTGTTAATTAACAACGACTGTTTTGCATTATTCAACATTTGCATTATTGTGTCTCGTATTGCTCCAGTTCCAGTCGACTGGAATACGGCGACCTTTACTTCAGCTTTGGTGGTAAAAGTCTGATAGTTTGTTTTTTCAAAATTGAATTTGCTTAATTAGATTATTCAGGTTTAGCTGAGTGAAGTTGCTAACTTGCTGAAAAAGATCTACAGTTTGGGAGGTTAGTAGGACATGATGAAGGTCTGATCTGCTCCTTGTGGCCTTGGTGTTTGGTTTTATGGTGTTTTTACAGAAAAGTTCTTCGTTTTCTTGCTTTTTTCTTTCTCCTCTCTCCGTTCCTCAGCCTTGTCTCGCCGCCTTGACTACCTGGAGCAGATGACTCAGAGAGACGTTGGTATTTTTTAAACGTTTGCATACTGCGCTTCACGGGGAGGAAATCAGATCTTGAGCAACAACTCTGCCCTCTGGCACCGGGGCAACCTGCACATAGACAGACTCACAGAGAGACATGCACACACGGTGCGGCGCTGCCCGTAGCCAGGAGCCCGGTGTTGACCCAGGAGCCCGGTGTTGACACAGGCGCCGTGTGGCACCGACCCATAGAGCCGAGCTGGTGTTTGCTCAGTGTGGTCCGTGCCATAGTGGCTGGAGAGATAATAGAAAAAGGTTATTCTGCTTTACAGTCGGATCCTCTGTCTCCGAGCAGCAGCGTGTGTGTGTGTGTGTGTGTGTGTGTGTGTGGATTAGTGTGTGTGTGTGTGTGTGTGTGGATCGGGGTGTGTGTGTGTGTGTGTGTGTGGCAGCAGCGTGATAATGCTAACACGTCTCATGACATTTGGAAGTGTAATGGTGGAGATCACGCTGTTTGTCTCTGTTTTGCAGGACTGTGTGTGTTTTTTTTAATGACTGCCAGAACCTCTTCCAGGCTTCGGCGCTTCTCACTTTTTTAATGTATGTGTTAATTTTTCACGCCCACGTGTAAAGAATATTTAATCCACGTCCAGACTGATATCCACCACCTCAAGTGTGTGTGTTGTTACCCTGGGAGGCTTCATTACGGATTCATCCCCAAAGCTTGGCCGTGTTAAAGCCAAGTGCTGCCTACTGAGCCACAAAGCCAAAAATAAAAAATAAAAAATGCAGCCTTTGAAGTAAGCAGGTCTGTTCCTACAACCTGCAGCCATCCTGTTGCTTAGCGTGCTCGCCGGCCGCGCTCTGTGAATGCAAAGCAGCCTATTTGTAGTTAAAAATGAGGCTGAGCGTCGTGTCGTGGGGAGCAGAGTACAAAGCGACAGGTCATTGCTAACAGCGGCAGGCTAGCTTCCCATAAGTGCTGCAATCAGATTGCTGATGGTTTTTATGCCTGCTCATTCCTGGTGGAAAAATGTCGATTTTTTTCTTCCTCCCCTCCTTCCCTGCCCCACCTGACCCATTATGCAGCATGCTGAGAAATAATGAGATTTTGTCCCTATTTGGGTTTGATGCTTGCTGTGCTCTAACACACAACCGGTCCGTCCAGCGCCGCCTGGGGAATGCAGTGTGGACAGAATTACAATCAGGCCCAATAGCAGCATCCAGGCCGGGCGATGATGTCGCTCGCTGGATACGGACCAGACGCACGCTTTGTGACGGGACATGGATGCATTTGGATTATCAAAAAACAGATCCTTTTATTTCCATTTACAGTTGCAGGTTCTGATACAGCCCGGTACACGGCACCATGCTGTGCTGGTTAAGACAATAAAAACATTTCCACTTTCGATACGTCGCCTTTTAGTCTTTTACCGCTGAAGAACGTCACCAGTCAGTTTCCTTCAGTCTGTCACTGCAGAAACCTCAAAGATCTTTGAAAGACTTTGGTTATTTCTTGTGTTTTTTATAAATCCTGATGTCCAGGATAAATGTGTTTAAGACGACGGCACCTGAACAGACACCAGTTCAGACTGCTTGTATTGGAGCAGAATATATTTTTCTTAATTAACAGTTTCAGGCAATAATAATAATAATAATAATAATAATAATAATTAGAACTTCCTTCTGCCGTACTGACTGACGAGGTTTCTGTAGAGATGTTGTGAGGAACTTGAATAGCCCCAAATGGACGATCTGATCCTTTTTTTTTTTAGAATAATCTACCACACGTCGTCCTCGTCACCTCCTGCTTTATAAAAAGCACCCTGACGTGGAATAGCGAACTGGTGTAACGTCACAGAGGGAACAGGAGAGCCCTTTTATTTGGACCTAAATCTTCTCGGCTGGCTGGACTCGACGGTCTCGGCCAAGCTCCTGTAACAATATTTATAAAAGTGTGTTACCGTCATTATTTATGTGAGGAGGATTTATTCAAGCAGCCCGGCAGGTTTACATGTTGTCGCCCAAACTGGACGTTGGAATAACAATAAGACACGTTGAACTAGAAACACAGGCTGGATTATAAGTTGGCCTGGTTCATGTGTCATCCATCAGCAGGCTGTTCTGGCTCACGCCGTGGGCTGTTGTTCGTAATGGCTCCGGGTAATAACTCCTCAGGTTGCTCCAGCACTGTGGAGATGCTGCCGGTGCCAGACCAAGGACAGATCGGGTCTGGCTTACGTCTATAGAAGGTTAAATAGGGGTGTGTTGAAATCTATTTATGGCTAATTATGGTTGCTGTGTGTGGCTTGGGCTTGTGTGCAGGCGTATAATTTCCCAGTGATTGAGATGTATAACAGAACAGAGCGGGGCTTTATAATCTGGCAGGAACAATGCATGTTTCTGCCTTTGTGCATACACTAAGTTTTGAATCTTCACAGGGTTTCGTGCTTTCGGCCTCTTTGTGTGGAAGCGCACTTGGCAGCCGGTTCCTTAGTAATGCTGCACTCGTTGGACTGTGGCAAATTGAAAACCGCTTGATTTCATGTTCATGTTTTTAATTATTTCTCCCACTCGGCTCCCTTTCCCCCCTCGTCTTTCACTCCGCCTCATCGTTTCGGCTCTTTCCAACTGGCTCTCACCGTTTCTTCTCTGCTGTGTGTTTTCTCTCTTTGGCAGGCCTCATCGCAGCAGCTGAAATTCACAACCTCTGACTCCTGCGACAGGATCAAGGATGAGTTCCAGTTTCTTCAAGCACAATACCACAGGTGTGAACAGAAACACTCACACATCCAGCACCGAGCCGAGCAGAGGCGCGGCTCCACGACAGCCTGATGAGTGCGCCGCTCTTTAATAAGCAGCGTAACCTCGGGCTGTACACGCGCTACTTAGTGTTTTTCTTTATTGAACACATTTTCCTAACAGCAGCGTCTGTGGCAAACAGATGACTCGCTGCAATAACCGACAGTTTCTACCTCTCAGCTTCACTCATACACGGTTAGACTCTGACTTAAACTGCCTCTGAATACTCAATAGCTTCAAACAGAGGAAGGATTAATACTTTTACGTGACCTATCCTGGAAGCGGTGCCCAGTTTGTACACATCCACTTAATTAATTCCAATTAAATTCTCCAAGTCCACAAACTAAGAGTGCCAGAGTTTAGTCTGTGTTTTCTCCATAATTGGTACCAAATTACATCATTATTTGCAGAAAATCTACAAAAACATATTTGGAAGTTGTTAGGAAACAGCAGATGTTGCGTCTCGCGCTGGAGGGACTCCTCAGCACTGAGATAAGAATTGAGATGTCTGCCTTTGTTCCAGTCCTGCCTCGACTCCAGCACCACGCTGCACACCGACGAGACGTTCTTTATTGACTCATACCTAAATCAATCTCGTTTACCCTCGGCTATTGATCTCCCTTTACTGCTTAAATACCGCTACAGTTCTAGAAGTCTGAGCTACTTCCAAAGTCCAGCCTTCACTGATCTGTTTGATAGCCGTTCTAAAGAGGGGTGATGCCACGGGGTCTGCAGCTCGCCCAGAAATCCTCTCTTTGTGAAAGTGGAGTCTTTGAAGCCTGCTTTCCTTCCTGAGGAGGTTGGTGTGTTCCTCTGTACCTGTACTCCCAGAACCTTCCAGAGGCTTGCCTCTGCCGGCTACAGAGACGGGCGAAGGCAGATGAAAGCCTGACATATTGTGTGCAAAATCCCCTCTCTGGTCTGATCGCTCTTGTTTGCGGAGGATTGCGAAGCTGCAATAACGCCCTGCGCGTCTTTTCCCTCGCCTTTGGTTGTTGTAATTCCCACAACAGTGAGCAGCACCGTTTAACCCCCTTCAGAGAGTCGGAGCGCAGTTGAAAGAATACCTTTTTTGTCTGAGCATACACAACATGCATACAGTGCCTATTGAGAGGGGCTGGATGGGGCGGGGGGCTCGGCAGCCACAGACAAAGCTTTGTAGTGCTGTGCTGCTGCGCCGCGCTCGTCTGTTGCTGAAGACTTTAAAAGGCAAATGTACCGCAGGCGTTCCCCCGGGTATAGTAGCGAGCATTGTAGCTGTCGCCGTCTTCCTCTTCCCGCCCCCCGCGCCGCTCTGCGCTCGCCCTCCTCCTCCCCCCGCCCCTCGTTCACATGCATAAATAGATCAGGGAATACATAAATCAAAATAAAGATGACAGCAGGAGCGATTTAGAGACGGAAGAATCGGCAATAAAACTCCATCAAAGTGTCGTTTGAGAACAGCGGTGCAGGCCCCGGGGCTGCCGAGCACCAATCAGAGGAGGCGCAGCTCCAATCCCAGGTAGGCTGGCAGCGGGGACGCCTGTCGTCATGACAACCCACCACCACACAGCCTACGCATGTACACAGGGATAGCAGGAGGGGTTTCATGTAGGTGGGAAGGGGAGCATTTTGGGTAAGTGGAGGCTGCTCGTGTACACAGGAATCAGCAGAAAGAAACTGTAAACGCCTCCTAAAAAGAAGCCGCCCTGTGCCACCGTGTCATCTGGTCGGTTATCTGTGGATGCATCCTCACCTCCACGTTGTTCTGAACCTCAGGGACTCACACTGCAACAGGTGTTTGTCTCCTGTCTTTATCTAGCTTTAAGTCTTGGCTGCAGCTCTTCTCCATCTCGTCCTGTTGATAGAAGAGTCTGACTCCAGACATGTGGACTGACTCTTGTTGCTTCCCAGTGAGGCCTGTGGGTGGTTTCCTGCTTCTGTACATGCTTGATGCAGGTCAGCGTTACACTGCCACTCCTCTGGCGCTCCGATAGCTGGTCTGGTTGAGCCGGCTCTCCTCTGTTAGTCTGGCTGCCTCTGAACACGTCGGCTTCATGTCTGAATGACCACCCCGGGCACCACCACAGCATTCGTACTGGTTTGGACCCAATCGCGTTTACATATCAGTTTCAACACGGCACCAGTCCGGTCTTAGCATTAGCATAGAGACAGGCACAGGATCACGACGTACGTCTAGTTTTGTGGAAGTTTTTCTGCATGTTGCAGCTCCAGCGTTGAGCACAAACAAAACAGCAAAATCAGAAAACTCCTCTCATGTTGAATTTTGCTTCAGCGATACCAGCTGATACGACCGTTGTAAAGCTTGCTCGCAAAGAAGGAAGCAGGTCAGATGAGTGAGTGTGTATAAAAATGGACCAACTCTCCGTGCTGCCGCTCATACGTGTCCTGAGGAGCGTTAATAAGGCTCAGTGTGGCTCCTCCAGCCAGCGCCGTCTTGGCAGCGCCTGTCTTCGCCTGATCCCCGTGAGCCTCGGCCGTGGACCGTCCTGTAGCTGCAGCCACAGCCTCAGTTATCCTGTCTGATCAGCTCACTGTGAGCTAAGACACATCCGTTTGTTTATTAATGTATTTACTCATTTATTATGGATTGTACTCACTCCATGTGCCGTCCAGTCTCATGCGTGTGCTAAACGTGAGCACGCTGCGGCTCTTTCCATCGCCGCCGTGGGAATACGTGAACGACGGCGTGACGAGCATTAACGTGAAAGTGAGTGATGTGTGAACGGGAGAAAGTCGTCACTCTAACAGACTGATGAAGCAGCAGCGCTACAGATCACGTGTCCTGAATGTGCTGATGTGGGCTCTTCAGACATTTCTATGCGAGGAAGCGATGCTCTGGTTTCAGCAGCGAGAGCTGATGAATGCAGGAGTTGGGACGGCGTGGCGTATGAATGATAACATGTCAGGACGTTACAGCAACGGTAGCATTCCTCTGACGCCGAGTCGTCTGTAGCGTGTGCTACATCACAGGGATGACATCCTGAAGACGACAGCATCACCGCTGTTTAGAAAACATCCAGTCTGCTTTCTAATGTCTTGTAAAAAAGAAGTTCTCAAATAAGAACGATGTGCGAGTAGCTGACGGTCACATCCCAGGTCAGTTAGTCCAGGGGGCTCCAGTCCTGGTCCTGGAGGGCCACAGTCCAGCATGTTGTAGACGTTTCCCTCTTCCAACATCTGATCCAAATGATCAGGATCTTTATCAGGCTTCTGCAGAGCTTGATGATGAGCTGATCAGTTGAATCAGGTGTGTTGGAAGAGGGACACATCTAATTAATGCAGGACTGTGGCCCTCCAGGACCAGGACTGGACACCCCTGGGTTAGTCGGAACAGGTCAGGTTTGGTATCCTGCTCTCAGGCTGCTCGCGTCCACATGTGGAAACAAGCTTCTGAGCAGCGAGCGTGTTTGCGATCACAATGAGAGCCGAGATAAGACAGGAAGGGAGGTTTCTGTCTAATAACAAACACAGATGCTGCTGCGTTAGATCCCAGTTTGCTCCTTTTCTCAATAAATCTTCTAAGAAATAGTTTCTGAATCGGGTGTCACGGTGACGCCTTGAGTTTGAATCCACTTCTTTTGTCTTCTCCTTGTGGAGTTTTCTTGTTTCCTTGTTGTTGTGTGAGAACGTGTTGTGTTGGCTGTTTGATGGACTGGAAACCTCCAGAGTGTCTCCCTGCCCTTTACCAAACGCATATTTAATCACGTCAGGTTTCCTCTGTAGGGACACAAAGTAGATTTAATAATTATTTCACTGTGCACTTAAGAAACAAGATAAAATCTGCAGTTATACACGACTTAAAGTTAAAGCCGGGGCTGTTTCAGACTCAATACTTTCTAATTATATGTGAAATATTCTTGCTTATTTTTTAACTGTCCAATAAAAGCCTAAAAAAAAATCTTTAAAAAAACCAACCCGTCCTTGACCTTGGGTACAGTTTCCAGACTAAAGCTTCTGATTTCGATTTAAGAACTCTTACTCTTTAGTGGATTTTGGACCGATGTGTTGGACACCATCATCAGAACACATGAGGGAGGATCTTCTAGAAGAACGTTGGTCAGACTGGAGGATCGCTGCCACTGGAGCTGTTCTGGTGTCAGACGGAGGTCCAGCGTCCTGCAAACACACTTTATGTTTGTGTCCTTTAATCCGTCACCTGTCTGCGTGTAAAACAAGCACACGCCTTAACTCAGACTGAAACTCTTTTAAATATCAAATACTCATTCATACATGTTTCAGTGTTATGATGCCCATCAAAGTCGGAACCAGGACTCGACCAGAACCTCCAGCTCGCGGTGCAGCTGCTGCAGTAATTAGAGAAGGAGCGCAGCGCCGTGGGTCTGAGCGAGCCCACGGTATTGGCTGCGTGTGACGCTGCTCAGTCTGCCAGTTAAGACGAACAGCGATGAAGACTCAGCCGGCGCTCACTATAATCGAGCTGTCATTCCCTCAGACAGCTGAGAAGAACATCCCGGCATAAATATACACACACCATCAAACAGGTTACAGACTTATCCTAAATCTGAACCTATCCGCCGTGTGTCTGTGCATATTTTGATGAGCCTCAGCCAGTCCCTGCATAGGAGGAAGCCTTCCGAGACTGACAACTACCAACTGGCTGCTTCAATCAAAATCATCGAGGGGCTCCTTTTCTACATTTTCTATTTTTTTTTCTACCTCTGTCATTTTTATTTGACAATGACGCCGACTTGTTGACGCGCTCTCCTTTGTCCTGTCGCCCGGCGTGACATCAGCGCTGACATGATTACAGCTAATGGCTGTCGGAGGGACTGGATCGCAGCTATAACACTATATTTAGACTTTTTTTTACTCCTCTGCCTCCTCTCTGATTTAGAAAGCAGACACTTTGGCTCGGCTCGTGTACGCGAGTTCAGAGCGACTTTGACCTCCTGTCAATCGACACCTGTCAGGTTCGGCGAAATCGCTGCCACCGACTTGTAAAGGTGAGGATGATGATGGCGGCGGTAATGATGATGATGATGATAGAGGCGGCGGCGATGATATAGATGGTAATGGCGGCGGAGATGATGAGAACGGAGGTGGTGTGGATGATGATGATGATGATGAAGGTGGAGGTTGAAGTGATGATGAAAGTGATGACAGTGCCGCTGCTGAGAGTGGAGATAATGATGATGAAGGGGCTTGAAGTCACCTGGTGTCAGCACTTTAGAGGGAAGACTGTTGAGCTGAATAACAAGGTCTGACTCTGTGCTCCTCTCCTCTTCTTGCCTCTCCAGTTTGAAGCTCGAGTGTGACAAGCTGGCCAGCGAGAAGTCGGAGATGCAGCGCCATTATATCATGGTGAGTCCAGCTGTGCATGTGCATGAGCGTCGCTTCGTCTCCGTGTGTTTCATCGATCTGATATCAGAGCCCTTGTTTCACATTCTGATGTTTATGTGCACAGGAATGTTTTTCTCTCTGTTATTTACACGTTCTCTGTTCTCTGTGTACTCTGCTCCTCGCTCACCAGCTTTTCTTTGCACTGCAAATAATCGCTTTTTAATGGCTCCTCTTAAAGGATAATTTTGGTTTATTACAACTTGGCTCTTATTTCCAAGATAATTGCTGCGATCTTGCAGCGATAGCGCCGAACACGAGACATACATGTTTTAAACAGACCCTCAGGGAAGACGGTACTGGAGGGAATCCAATAATTCATTAGACGAGATTCATACCGACTCCACTGTGTGCCAAACAATCAACCGTTCGCCCACGATGGGAAGTTCAGCTACGTTCAGGAGGGAGAGTGCTCCACTTCCATCAACGTTACGTCTCCAGCTTTTGATATCCAGCGTCATTCCCAACACCCACCAGGTTCTGGTGACGTTCTCCATCTGATCAGAGCCGACAGGACGGTTGGTGAAGCGGGAAAACGCTCCACTTCACAAACATGTGCTCACCTTGTGCAAAGCTAATTATCAAAATATCAAACACAGAGCACGTCTGAATAGTTCTGGTAATTAAGAATGAACTCTTAATTAGTCACATTGGCGTTTGTAAGCTTAATTGCACTTAAACACAGAGACTGTCCTTCTCAGCACATCAGGTGTTTGAGTAGATGTACTGAAGCGGTGCAGACCTGGAGTGGCCCTGAGAATAAAGACTAAAGGGGAGAAGCTGGGTGGTGTTATTATAGAACCACACAGTCCTCAGTGGAAGAAGGTGGAGTCAGTGGGCAAACATAAAACAACAGTGATTAGTAATTAGTGTAGTCGTGGCGTCTAAATCATAAAACTCTTGATGTTCTTTTGCACTTTGTTTGTTTATTTACTGTGAAATACCAACATTAGGGCTAATAGTTGACTTAAGTGATTAAATGGTTTGAAGACTCCCAGCAGTGCTGCAGCTGCTGGTGTCTAAACCAGAAGACGCTGGTGTGCATCGTTCATGATGTGTTCTGTAGTTTGATCTGCAGGACGTGTTGGTTCAATCCAACCTGTCCGCTCAGGCCTGTTAGTAGCAGTAGAAGTCTACCAACTATTTTACTAGCCATTAATCTCACTAGTAGTTTGTTAATTATTCTTTCTCCCAAAAATCTAATTGATCATTTCCATTGAAGTGCATTTCCAAGGTAACAGCCCGATGACTTCAGGAGTGTGTCTGGCAGCTAAAGACGACAAAACATGTTAAAAATCTCTTTCACTAATTCTGGCGAAGCATCCTCAAGAATAGTTCCTTGGAAACTTTGCACAGAGTTTGTTCTGTGATGCTTACAGCGCTCTCGTACTTTCAAGGCCTTGGGTCTTTGGAAACTTTTACGCTGAACTGAGTCGAGTGCTGCTGTTTTCTAAAACGGTAGTGAGTCTGACCAGTGAGTGGAGCCGTCGTGACTTAATATTTACGTCTGATACAGAATGTTTTTCTTGCATTTTATGTTTTTTCAAATGTAGACGCCAACACCAATAACGCATCAATTATGTTTATGATTATTATGTCAGCCAATCGCTGCGTACTCTTACTCTATACTTATAGTTCGTATTGCAGCTGCCCTCACAAAGCGCGTACTGTTTCATGAAGTAAACATCCAGCTGGGATGTACTGCTTTGTCCAAAGTGGCAGAAATGAGCTGTCATCTGTCTGCGTGCTTTGCCGGCTGAAGCTCGTTTGTGCACAAAACCACCACAACGTGTGCGACGTGACTGCTCAGAGGATTGTTGGTCAGAATGTCCAGAAAAGCAACGTACCTGAGCATCGGGGTGTTTTTGGCGAACTGCATGTAACCTGCTATGTACTGGGACATTAAACCTGTTACTGGTGGACTATAGACTGTGTTAGCATGGACATTAGCATGGCTGTGGCTCAGGTGGTAGAGCGGGTTGTCCTCCAGTCACAAGGTTGGCGGTTCTATCCTCTGAACCTGAAGCTGCTCCCGATGGCAGGCAGCAGCTTGCATGGCAGCTCTGTGGCCGTTGGTGTATGAATGTGTGAATGAGGAACACACTGGGGCTTTGGATAAAAGCGCTATGTAAGTGCAGACCATTTATCATTTATCAAATTAAAACGCAGAGACTCTGCTGCGCTCAGGGATCTCAGTAGCTAACCTGGTACAACGATGCTTTCATGATGCCTCAGAGATGAGACCATACTTGGAGTAAACAGCAGCTTTTCATCCCTTTTTGTTTCTGGAGTTCCTGTAGATGTGTCTCCTCCCTCCCCAACCCCCTTCGTTTCCTCTGTTCCCCATTTCTGCCTCCACACACACACACACACACACACACACACCGACACACACACCGACACACACACCGACACACACCGCCGCCGATGTGCTGCCTGCTCTCTGCTCCACCTCGGGGCTAATCTCATTGTTGCTGGCCGTAGCTGTGTAGCCGTCTGATGTTTTGCCTCTAATTGATCCTCTGACTGGCTTTAATCTCATCTAATCTGCGCCGCCGCTCTGCTCGCTCCGCCATCAGCAGGCCGGCCGACACACACACACTTCCTCTGTGTGTGTGTCAGGCAGGCATCAGTACACACAGTTTTGCACACACACACACACAGTCGGGCTTTGTCTGACTCGTAGCATAAACACGCTGTGACGAGAACGCCATCATGCAAAACGGAGGCAATAACAAAAAGAATTTCTGAGCCTCAGAAATGTCGTGTTGAGGAGTCGTATCGTACGCGACTCTTTCACGTTATATTGATTTTCTTTTGACTTAATTACTCTGAATGACCAACATTAGGGGTAATAGTTGACTTAAGCGTTTAAATGGTTTAAAGAAATCCAGCTTCCCCAATTACTCGCGTCGGCGTGTTTGCTTTGATGGTCAGGAGGACGTCTAGCAGGATGTTTTGGAGCCTACGGGCTGATTTTATCAAGAGAAAGGGAAGTTTTCCTTATTGTTTGGTATTTGCTCTGATGAGTTTGTGAAGCCCTGTGAAGTGGAATACAACTTCCAGCTGTTTGCTTCTGCTGCTGCGTTAGCTGATGTGTGTGTTTCTGCTTTTTAGGAGCTTCACTCTTCCTGTAGGTCACTCATGACCTCAGTGGTACATGAGACAAGTCAAACAGAGAAACTAGACGAAGCCGTGTCTGTGCCGGGAGTCATTTGAAAGTCAAGTGGAAACCCAGGCTGCAGGTGGATCAGTGGTTAGCACCGTGGCCTCACAGCTAGAAGGTCACCGGTTCGCGTCCCGGTGAGGACACCCGGGATCTTCCTGCGTGGAGTCTCCATGTTCTCCCCGTGCAGCGTGGGTTCTCTCCGGGTTCTCCGGCTTCCTCCCACAGTCCAGAAACATGCTGAGGTTAATTGGTGATTGTAAATTGTCCGTAGGTGTGAATGTGAGTGTGCTTGGTTGTCTGTCTCTAAGTGTAGCCCTGTGATAGACTGGTTACCTGTCCAGGTGAACCTGCCTTCACCCTGAGTCAGCTGGGATAGGCTCCAGCCCCCCATAGTGAGGATGAATCCTCCGTGTAGGATTTATCTCCGTATGTTTTGGTGCCATCTTGCCATAGATCCATTATAAGCCCAGATTCTGATGTTCCTTAAACATGGTTCCTCAGAACTACTTTTGAAGACTTGCTGTCTGACCACATGATGTAATATTGTGTATAAACAGGAATAAAGACGTTTTGAGACAGTTTCCAGGGAAACATTGACATCATTGACTTTTACATATGAGATGCACAACAAACGGTAAAACTTGATTTATGTTTCTGGAAGTCCTGGTTAGCCCTCAATAATGCAAAGAGCATTGTGTTTATGTGGCAGTGGGCAGCATGTGGCGGTGAATGGCTTCTGGCTTGAACTCCTGTCGTCCAGTGACTGATACCACCGAACCACTGCCCTCACAAAGGTCATGTGTCTGTGGTTAGAAAAATCTCAACAACACACGGGGAACATCATCGCTGTACTTCACTCAATTATTAATCAGATTTTGATCGGTAACTCTGACTATTTGTACAGAAAGTTGCCTAAAGTTTGATCCCTCTTCACCGCCGTGTCTCCTCATGTGGATTCAATATGAAGCTTAACACAAGAAAAAAGAGAAAGCCGAACCAGAGTGCAATCCCGGCTCCTCTCTCACCTCCAGGCAGCGTGAAGTGTGACTGTCGGATTGTCGGTTCAGAGTGTAACGGATAGTTGGCGACGCCGACACCTCCTATCTGATACCGGGCAGGTGTGATCTACAGGAGGGGGGTTCTTCTCTCAGATCATCCTGCAGGTCAGACGGAGCAGAAAGCCTCAAGAAATGTGTGTCGAACTTTTCTGACGAGGTAATATCACGAAGCTTTGTTCTGCAACCTGCCTCGTGTTTCTCTAAATGGAAAACCCAGAGCAGGTAAAGCAGACGCTGTGTTCAGGGTTCGTGAAGCCTCCTGATTGGCTGCAGAGATGCACATCTATGTTATTGCTCTCTTTGTTTTTGTCATTAAGCCCGCTTTTAAAATGCTAAGTTCAGTATTTTATCTGTTAGCAGGCGACCGGTTTGAACATTCAGGATGTCTAACAGTGAACTCGTCGTTTGCTTTCACACATAAACGAAAGAAACTATTGAACCGTGCAAATGACACGATAATGTCGTTAGCCTCTCGGAAGGGTTCGGCCAACGAAGGAAAACGTTTAAGTGGAAAATTATAGCTGATATTTTTCACAATATTCAGCCTGATTGATTTATGGAGAAAATAAGCAGCAGATAAACCAATCACTGTGAGCCGCACATTCACAATATCATAAACGTGAGCCATGGGCGCCGTGTTGGAAGGAACTGGGACAATTACACGTTCAAATTAGATTTTATTTCAGAATGTGACGGCTCTGATTGAACCGATGAATCCAGGCTTTGGTTAGAATCAGACTGTACACGGACACAGATCTGCTTCAGCCTTCTTCAGATGTAGCTCAAAATGCTGCTATAGCATTGATCTATGGACGCCGTGTGGCTGAACCCTCCTCCTGCACTCCGCCTTAAACACACACACACACACACACACACACACACACAGGCGGCGTGCACGTACGCGCGCACACTTTCAATTGCACTTCCACTCCATCAGTGGCAGGCCCAGTCTTGTATCCCCACAACGACCTCCCCACTCCTCCTCTAATAGCGTATCAGGTTGCCCCACTCCCCCAGCCAGCGGCAGCACCTCCATTTCCCCAGCGCTGTAATTACTTTAGGGAGCTTCCGCGTGGGCACGAGTCACTACGGGAAAAACACAGCGAGCCAGATCGGTGTGTGTGCGCACACGCATTCACGTCCTGTCAGTGTGAGTCTGAACAGAAAACAACAATGGTGTGTGTGTGTGTGTGTGTGTGTGTGTGTGGTGTGTGTGGTGTGTGTGTGTGTGTGTGTGTGTGTGTGTGTGTGTGTTGTTTGTTTTCCAGTGACAGAGCCAGTCCCCCTGCAGACAGAGTGGGTGATTAACAGGGTTGACGCCTAGAAGGTGGCCCTCTCATTAACACTGAACACACACACACACACACACACACACACACACACAACAGAGGCTCTTTCTCTACTGTCGCTGCTTTCCTCTCTGGCTTCCTCTAAGCGTTTGTAGAGATGTGTCTGCTGCTCTTCCCTTTGTGCGTCTGTGCGCCTCCTGAGCGGGAATATGTTTGTGGAATAAGGAACTGGGAATCATGGGAGTCATTAGGACGTCACATACGTGTCGTGTTGAGTTGACGGTTATTGTGTGTCGAAGGATAACTTTGTTTATTTTCTCATTACCGACAGTTTTGCTTCATTACTGTTTTACGAATTCATCATTTGCTTTTCACTTCACATCCAGAGTGGAGGTTTTGGAAATGTCCCTACTTTTCTTAGAATTTATTCATATATCTGTACAATGATTGTTAATGATTAATGATTAATTGATTAACTGCCAGTACTAATTTTACTCATTAAAAATATATTAACCTATAAAGCAGAAGACAAAGAAGATTATATTTATATTTGTAGATTAGCTGTAGTACCAGATTGCACCAGCAGGAGGAGCCGACACAGCAGCTGTGATTGATTTGCTCGGTGGTAATATGCTGCATAAAGGTAGTGCCTCTGTGAAATGAAATCTGACATGTAATTGTATTTAGCTGCTAATGCTAGTGCGATGCTGGTATTGTGCCGATGCAGCGATTTGCTTCGACCACTCTGTGCATCGACTCAACCTTTCACAGATGTTTCAGCTCTTATTCCTACGTAGCAGTAACTTTGATTAAAGTAACTGTTGTTAACATTTATTTAAACTCCAATGCCAACATGGCCCGCTGTGTTTCAGTTGCTATCGTGGAACAGAAATCCTACTTCTAGCTAGCGCTTTGGTGGATGTAATTGGAGAGCAACACACATGCCAGCACTCAAGTCTAAATTCCCACGACGAGGGATGTTACTGATTATCAGTTAATCGATTAGTTGCTGTTAATAACTTCCCAAATTCAAAATGTATGAACCGATAAAGCAAAAAGCGAAAGATATGAATGTCTTGCCCATTAGCTGTAGTACCTGGTTGCACCACCAGGTGGAGCCTCTCACCATTTATTACTGTAGCAAACCGAGGAGGCGGTTATCAGACTGTGGACTTAGCTGTGGGACTTTAGCTAGTACAGTGCCACCATGAGAAGGTCTCCTGTTGTAGACAAGCTGTCATGTGACCGCATTCAGAGCAGTTTCATTAACACGTAGCATGTTCACGAAGTTAAATTCATGCTATTCATTAGTTTAATAATCCTCGTATAGATTATAGATTCTATATAGTGGCTGGAGCAGACATGAATAATGACCTTTGTGACACTGTAGATGTAAATATTACTGCTATGAACATGTGTGTATTAGCTACGTGCTACATGCTAGCTGTACATGCATGTGGGTGTGATCAGATGAGAACAAACTGTATATATGAATATGATCCGCGATTCTTTTTCATTTTCTAATTTCCACAATGCATCATTTTACGTCAGAAACCCAAATAAAGCTCAGATCCTCTGAGCTTCGTTAATCGTTTCTTCAGCTACGATGCTTCTGGGAGACGCGTCTTTGACTTTGTGTTTTATAGGTTGTATGATCGTCTTAGCTTCAGATGTTTTTGGGAATCGGAGCCCAGACTCTTTAAGTGTGCCAGCTGAAGAAGAGAATTTTTGGTCCGATTTCCCATCACAGAGTAATTTAAATGCACATTAACTTCAAACGTGATTTGTCACAGCGAGTCGATGGAGCGTGATGAAGCGCTAGCAGAAGATTTTCTGGGAACAGTTTGATGCCTGCATTGTTACAGCTTTCTGTCTTTTTGTCTTCCTCTCTCTTTAGTACTATGAGATGTCCTACGGGCTCAATATTGAGATGCACAAACAGGTGAGTCTATCTTTTGTCTTCGGGGGGGATAACGCTTTTATTCCCATCACAGACTATGTAAAGCTGTTGTATGGCCATAGCAGATTGCTTGTGCAAAGGAAATTGGAACACAGGAGGAAGCCATTTCTACATGCTGGCCGGCCTTGATTCAAACTGAGACACACGCATGTTTGTGAAGCTCAGCCAGAAAAATGAGCATTGAATGAGCGCCGCTGTCGTCGACTGTCCGTGTGCTGGAAGTGCTAACGGTGCTTTAGATATTAAAGGCAGTTATTCTGTTGTCCGTCTACTGTGTGCACTGGTGGCTGAATGTCTGTATAGATAAACAGTGAAATGTAAATGTTCTGCCTTCCTCTGCATCAGTATGTCAAGAACATCTTGTGAAGGCAGCCACAGAGTCATTCAGGTCTTTGTGTTTGGATGTTTCCTGGAACACACAACGTCTCTGTAGGTTTACGTCAGCGCCATCACAAATGATTGATCTTTTTATCTTAAATATTTCAGCTTGCTGTTTCAGATGGCGGTAGATACCAGAACTACTACGACATCGCAGCCCAACAGAACCCTATAGACCTGGTGCTAACTGCTAGCAGGAACGTAGCTGTTGTGTAGCCTGGTTCTGCTCCAGACCTCCAGGTGTGCGTCATGTTCTCTCTGACGAGTCGCAAACAAGCGTCGCAGTAATTTCAGAACAATTTGCCGTCAGAGTCGAAAACAAACCAGAAAACAGACGTGAGTTGTTGTCTTCTTTAACTTCCGCTCACCGTTAGCGGAGCAGAAAGCGTCGCGCTCAGCTCGGGGACTGAAGCCAGCTCAAGGACCAGCAGCCTTTCATTGCCGTCTGTCGGTGCAGTTGCTTGTTGTTTGTACTGACGAGTCAACTGGCACAATTTATTGAGCAAAAAACCTTCGAGCCGCTCGTCAGGTAACCTTGTCCGTGCAAAAAAGAAAAAAAGATTTTTACTTTCAGAACCTTGAACGTCCAAAAACCCCAAAAAACAAACAAACAAACAAACAAAATGCTCTTGTTGTTCCTCCGGTGATGCACACGGCTCTGCTCCCTCCTTCACTGCTCACCTGGAGCTCAACAGGTGTGACTAACATCAGCTTGGAAATGTTCAGAGGTGTCTGAGTCGTGTCGTTTCATCCCACAGGAGCAGCTTCTGGTGCTGAATCCAACCCAGACAAACTCTCATCGTCTTTAGAAAAGAAAAATGTCCGTCTGCTGTTTAGTGCAGTAACAGTTTTAACCACACAGTTATTTAATGCATATGCTGATACTGACTGAGTTGTTTTATCTCTTTGACAATCACTTTAATTTCTGCAAAACCATTCATCTGCTGCCCAAAGTCAGTGAAGACACACAGAGTTCATTTTCCATGTTGTCCTTTGCTTTTAGTCGCTCCAGTCAGACGCGGTGCAAACCGACCAAAGACATGCTGATGGTTAGTTGTGGGTAAAAATATCAAACATTTGCACACGTTTCAGACCTTTTCTACTAAAGATGTTTCTTCTTATTGTATGTGAGGTCAAACCATTAATCAAGAACATATTTTTCAGTAAACACTCCAAACAGGCTAGATCCTGAATTCAGAATTAAAAAAGAGTAGAAATGTTTTTATAAATGTACAGAACTGTGAAAGTACGGATGCAGAATAGTGTTAAAACATGATGTAATGCTGTAGGTGACTCCAGGCGTTTCATGTGACAGGATGGTTTTAATTAATCTGTACAGCACTTTGTAACCTGTTTTGAAAAGTGCTATATAAATAAAGTTTATTATTATTTATCTGTTTGACAGACATTCAGTTTGAACAACAGCATATAATAACCTTTTTTTAAAAAAAAGAAAATTCAGTGAAGCAGTGTTAATTACCCACATTGAACAGTAAGAGCACATCTATGGATATTCATCTGTGCTTCTCTGTTAAAGTGCAGAACGTCTCAGTCATTCTGGTCAGACATGGGTCCAAATTAGCAAAGGAATAAAAGGAATGCCCGTTAGGTTTGATAATCAGAAATATCAAACGTTCAGGAGTTTCAGAGCATCTCTGGTGAACATTTGCTCCTTTTTTGTTGTATGTGATGGAATATCTTCCAGATGCTGATAGTTGTAGAAAACTTCATCACAAGTTGTGTCCTGCATTCAGAAAATTGTTTTAGAAAAGGGGCTGAAATATATATATATATATGTATATTTTAAATTCATTGAATTAAATTAATTAAAGCAACTTCAATTAATTGCTTCAAATGGTAACATGTAGGTGATGAAGTTTATCCAAGTTTATTTAATTAGTGATATTAATGCTATTAGCTCCAGTCAGATCTACATAAATCATTTGATTCCAACCAAGTGAACAGTTTGAGTTGCTGCAACTTCATTTTAAGGAAAGTCAACTAAAAGTTTTTAATGTTTCCAGCAGTTAATCTGCAGCATCTGCCTACTGCAGTCAGACACGGTGCAAAATTAACAACAAACACGTCCATTACATTTTAATAATTAAAGGTTAGTTATATACAAAAGTACCGAACATGTCCAAGTTTATCAGACGGCTTTTTTGTCACATATAATCTTAAATGATCTTATTTGAACTCTGATATTTGTAGATGAAACCGTATTTCCAGAAAGTATTTCTATAGATGAATTCTCCGTTAAAAATTAACCCTGCACTCAGGATTTTGTCAGAATCGTGTCAAAAGCAGCCCTGATGCACAGCTCTCTGATAGGTGTTAGGACGTGCTGCGGTGTTGTGGGTAATTGCATGCAGTCGTTTCATGTGGATGCTAATGCACCAGCGTATCCAGTCTTCCTCCTAAACAGAACTATCAGTCGACCCGATTCTGTGCAGAACCACGCCGGTGAGGAGAGATATTTGGAAACAGAAAAGAAAAAGGAGCCTTTATTCGTGCCGGGGAAAAAAAGGAGCGAGAAGCCGGTGTCCATACATCAGTTTGTGTAGCTGAAGCTGGGGGAGTAATTTATGCTCAGCCTGTAGGAGGAGAGAGCGATGGGCCTCCAAAGGGCCGGCCCTTATCGGTGACCTCGTCTGGCGCTGCCCGTCCACACACAAACACACAGGGAGGCGCACACACACCGGCTTATGATTGACGGTGCACGCTGACAGCCATATTGGAAGGAGTGAGTATGCTTTGACAAATGGACACACACACACACACACACACACACACAGGAAGAAGAAGAAGAAGCAGCTGCCATGATTTAAAGACGCTCACATATATGCACCCACACAGACAGCACAAGACGGGCACTGTGGTGCATGCTGGGAAAACACACACACACACACGCGCACACACATGCACTCACACACACACACACACACACACTGGGCCGTATGTGTGCAGTTCATCCACCTTTTTTTTTTTGCTTTATCTCACAGGCACAAGTGGGGTTCTGTGTGTGTGTGTGTGTGTGCGTGTGTGCATGTGTGTGTGTGTGTTTGTGTGTTTCACATGTGTGTCCGGGGGTCTTTGTGTGTGCATTTGCTCATGGACCGGCTGTGTGAGATTTTTTAGAAAATGTCAGTGTGTGGGTTGAGCCGTGTGCACGTGCCCCTCTTCATCAGTGCATATGCTTGTATCTGTGTGTGTGTGTGTGTGTGTGTGTGTGTGTGTGTGTTTGTGTTGCTGGCACATGTTCATAAGCGGTTGTGTGTTTATTGTTCGTGTGTGTGTGTGTGTGTGTGTGTGCACGTTTTCTTTGTGCACAGTGTGAGTGGGTGCAGAGAATCGCTAGTTCCATTAGAGAGTTGAAATTGAAGGGGATGTGTGGAAACGAGTGTCGAGGAGCATTCATGTCTGGGTCTATTGTGCAGAGCCAGTCTCCCCTCTCCTCCTCCTCCTCCTCCTCCTCCTCTTCTTCTTCTTCTTCTCTTCTTTTCTTTCTTCCATCCTCTGCTCCTCCTCCTCCTCCTCCTCCTCCTCTCTCCACCTCTGTCTCTATTTCCCTCTTTCTTTCTTTCTCACACATTCACTGCTCCCTCTTGATCGCTCCGTCCTCCTCCATTCAGAAAGCTCCTCTCCACTTGGTGCTCCTCTCTCCTCTTGTCTCTGCGTCTCTCTGTGTTGTCTCGGTGAGGAGGAGCAAGGTTGAGTTGTGGATTCAGTCGGGAGTGAGTTGAATGAAGCCATATTGTTGCCGGCTCTATTGTTTCTCTTCCTGTACGTTTGGCCACGGCTGCCCGACACTCGGCTCCATGTATGTTTTGTGTCGTATGTAATTTAGATTCTTTGGTTGACGAGCGGCGGCGTTCAGAACCAGCTCTCTACAATAAAGGCAATCAGGAGCGTGTTCGTCGGCGCTCGGGGGTTTGTTCTTGTCAGTCAAACAGCAGAATGCCTCAAAATTAGCAAAAAAAATCAGTTTCTGCAGCAACTTTAGTAACTGAAGGTTAGATTTTACCATCTTATACACATCAGTACCAAACACTCCCACGTTCTTCAGACCTTTTCCTGTAAACAGTTTTTATCGTACGTGGACAAACATCTTTGAGTTTGGAGGGCAAACCGTAATCCCGTTAATCTAGAAAGTATTTGTCAGGATTATTACACTCCGGTACAAATTAAGTCCTCCTTTCAAAATTGTGCTTAAGACAGAGTTCAGAAATATTTCTCTAAAAAATGCATCAGACCGTTAACAGGCAAATGAATGAAGCTAACGACTAATGGTTTAGGTTAGATGTACTAAAATCATTTAAGGTTTTTATTTTATTTGACCTTTATTTAACCAGATTAAAGACCCACTGAGATCAAACCTCTTCCAGAACGGTGACCCGAACAAGAAAGGAAGCAGCACACAAATAAACACAAATAAACACAAATAAACAACAAAACATAAACATTAAACATGGAAAAGTGTTGACAGTAAGAAGATAAAGTGCAGGAGAGTTTAAAAACTCAGGCACTGCTGAAAGGAAAGTTAACATCAACTTGAACTTTCCCATATTTCCTACCTGTGTGTATTTTTCCCCAAATGTAAAATGAAAAACCTAATTTCCTCATTAAACTCGCTGTTCTTTCTTCTTCTTTATTCTGTAATCCTACTTGAATAAAAACAAAGGTTGAGTTCAACAGGAAAAGTTGAAGAACATGATGCTTAAAGAGCAACAAACCCCATTTATGCACAATTAGAAAACAAGTTTAAGGAGACAAAGTGTGATTTCAAGCTGATAAAATCCACAAAGCTGAGAGACAAACAGGATTTATTCAGAACAGGACTTAAGTTCAGCTGCAGCTCAGCCAGCGTGTGCTGAGATGTCAGAATGCTTCCTGTCCAGGTGTTTAAATAACGTAAAGTCAGTTCTTCTATACGGTCAAACTCAAGAAACATGTCCCTCTGAGCCACCGTAGAGCCGCTCCATGTGGATGTCAATGCTGACAGAAGGTTTTATCTGTTTCATTAATTTAATTTCTGTTACGAGGGTTGATTTAAACTGTTTTGCGGGACGTTGGTTGGTTCAGTGTATGATTGTCGGCTCTATGTGTGCAGTCGTAATTTACAAAATAAATATTTGCTGCAGTCGTCGAGTGCCTCAGAACTGCCTTTAAGAGCGTTACTCAAGTAAAAGTACTCGACTACTGCACAGTGAGTGTGTTTCAGGTTCAGCTGTGGCGTCAGAAACTCCAAGGAGCGTTTATTTATTTATTTTATTTACTTGTAAATCTTTCAGAGATATTAAAAAATGATGAAAAGTCTGAAGTCTATCTGTTCGTGGCAGGAAGCAGCTCCACGAGACTCGAAGCTCCTGCAGCGACAAAACCAGGACGCTGGGAGGAAGCCGGCGCTGCTCGGTTTGTTTAGGCTGCCTTCCACGCTTCCTTGAAAGACATTTTAAATCAGTTGGAACACGTTTTTGTCTGCGTGTTTGCTTTCTCTTTTGAGTCTGCGCTTTGAAATGACAGAAGACAAAGCTTATTTAAAATGAGAAGCGCATTCAGCCCGACGCCGAGCCTCCGTGTGTGAGCTCGCTCTCCGGGCCCAGTTTTATATGATGTAGGTTTTATTTTGCGCACATACAATGGTTCTGACAGTCAATAAGTACTCCAACAGCACTCGAGGAAAGCTAGAAAAGAAGCAGAGTAAAATGCAAAGAGAGGACACGAGAGAGAAAGCGGCATTCAGATAGAAAAAAATCTGAGAGAGACGCAGAAGAGAAGATGATAGAGGGCAGAGATAAAAGAAGAGGCAGAAGCTGGGCTGGAAGGAGAGAAAAAAAACCCAGAGATAGACAGAATAAAGGGCGCTGAAAGAGAGGAAGAGCCGTCGTTAGCGTGGAGCGAGTCCCGCAGAGGCATTTTAGAGAGACGTTTCAGAGATGTCAGGGAGATTGTATGTGTAATGATGAGGGGATAGGAGTGAAGCGCCTGATGGGGAGCTGTGCTCTGCATGCCTAATGACTGTTAGGAGGCCCCTCGCTCCTCATCGCGCCACGAATTAGGCTCTAACACAATTACTGCTGCTTTGCATATCTCAGACGGATTGGATGATTACCAACCAAATGTGATAATAGACCTGCATGTGAGAACGATGGGAAATGTGCGTGACGTGGACGAGAGCGGATTATTGTGTGTTTGTGCGCACGTTAGCATCGGCGGCGGCTGCTCTGTGTAATTGCCTGTGCGTCCGAAAGTTTTGAGAAAGAGTATTAAGTACGAGCAGCTTAATTAATGAGGTGAATAAAAGGATTCTGATACGTCTGATATGTGTGTGTGATGTGTGATGTGAATGCCTTGTTTGGGAAGGTCATGGAAGGTGTTTCTGCAGAGTGTGGCCTGAATCACTGAACCATGGTTTACATTTAATGACAGTCTGTTGTTTTTATTGTCAGTAAAACCCATGAAAACACCCAAACTAGCAGACAGGGACGTTACTGATGAATCGTTTGTAAATTAAGTGCTGTTAATAATTTAAAACTATGTGAACCGATCAGGCAGAAGAAATGCATGCCAGTGTTTTATTGATCAGCTGCAGTACCAGGTTGAACCACCAGGTGGAGCATCTTACTGTTTAATAGACCTAAAGAAGCTGTCACTGGGACAGATGGCAGCTTCCTGTTGGCGAGCAGAGAGCATTGTGGGAGTTTAGGTAGTAAAGAGAGAGCGTCCTAACGGGTACCGGCCAGAGCACAGCTATAACAGTGAGCTGCTTCAGTATTTGTTTTTTTTAATATTACCGTAATGTCTGGACTACAAGCTGCTACTTTTTTCACACACTTTGAACACTGCGGCTTAAACAAGGATGCGGCTAATTTATGGATATTTACGAGTTTTACGAATTTGCCTCGAGACCAAAGTGACTCTGAGGCTGAAGAAGACGTGAACACCTGCAGCTTATAGACCAGTGCAGCCTTTTTTCTTTTTAAACTTAGTGGGTGTGGCTTATATTCAGGTGCGCTCAATAGTCCAAAAATACGATCTATTTCTTAAATTATTAATCAATAACCTTCCTTATTAATATTGTATATCCATCTGTGCTACAGACTTCTATTGTTATCCTAAAGCTGTTTAAGCCCCCACATACCTGCACAGGTGTTGTCAGATATAACAATAAGCCGGGCAACGTCACGTATGTTGGAGTAATGCATCGAAAAAGTTAATTGAAACAGCAGAATTTGAAAAAACAGTTTTTCTCACTTGATGTGGTTTTTTAATTTTTTGGAGAAGAGTTAATAAGTTCTGACATATCCAACATTTAACTCACAGGACTGCTGCAGCTTCTTGCCGTGTTCTCATCTCTGGACAGAATGAAACATGGACGATACCAGCTGATGTGAACTGAAACGTCCAGAAGACCTCGTCTCGTTCTTCCTCGTATAGCTGGCCACACTTCTTATTGATTTGTTTTTACGGTTTTACCTTCCTTCTTCTTCTGCTCTGCTGAGCGTGGCCACGTAGACCGATGATGCTACACAGCCTAGTTTATCAATGCAGTTAATAAAAAAGCACTAATTTGCCTTTTTTTTTTTTAAAGTTGACTTTAAATTCACTCACCAGTTATCTGGAAACAGGCGCTGGCCTCTAAACGAGGTGTTGCTATGCAGAGAATGACCCGATGGTGAGAGTCTGCAGACGTTTTAGCTTGTAGGAAACCCACTGGTGTTACTGGTCACAGTAATGGTTCCTCTGCTCTCATCCAGCATCCCAGTCGGTCGTGACAGCGAAGCAGCTGAACAATAGCAGGACCCTGAAACCGACGGAGATAAATGGAATCCAGGCGTCATTTTTTGTTCTTTATCTGCGCCTGTGCGTTTCCTGCTGCGATCTATCAAAGCGCCGAGTGTTTCCCTCCGAAGCCCAACCGGCTGAGATGTGCAGCGATTCTAACAGGACAGCGAGCAGGAGAGCTTCTGCACATCCACTCGGTCCTGAAGAGGTCTCATCACGCACCTTAAGTGGAAACACCTGTGCACACGGACGGACGGATGACGCCATCACACAGAAATGTTCTTCACATTCATTTCTGTGGGGAACAAGACGCGTTTGCTTGATTTAACTCTGACTGGTGGAATATCGAAGCTCTCCAGACGTTCAGAACATCCAGTTAGTCTGCAGCGAGGAAGAAGGGATTGTGTTGTCCTGTAGAGTCTCAGTGAGAGCAAAGGAGGAGGTTAATGACGGTGAAACGTTGGATAAAACAGTTAAATTAACATATTTTATCACTACAGTTGTTGGGTTTACTGGCCATCCCCCCTCCCACCACACATTCAGCTGCACCGTGGACGGATTTCCTGCCAGGCGGATAAAATTCACCAGTTAGACGACGGATGTTTTTTACTGTTTATGTGATAATTGCTTAAAAAAAATGTTCAGGTTTTATGAGAAACTACTTCAGAATAACGTCTCAACTTTCACCACTGTGGTCCAGCATCGTCCCAACTATCATGATGAACAGTCGTTTTTACGTAACGTCGTCTTACATTAGAGGCTTCATGTTTTATAAGATATTTAAATCTGAAAATATATTAATTTAGGCACCAGTCTTTTCTCTGTTATCGCTCCTATAAACTGGTCACAGGCTAAACTCCTCTCTTGCTAAACAGGTGCTTATCAATAGACGCCACAATTTACCGATGTTCCCTAAACGCCTCACATGCAGGCTAAGCTACATGCTAGCCAGGCTGCTGCAGCTCACTGAAGCAGGTGTGAGACCAAAACTTGAATGTAAAAAAACTGAAATACGGTGCTCTACAGACAGAGAGAGGAAGCTGCATTTACGTTATCAATAATCGGTTTATAAAAACAACGATATGGATAATCAGATCTGATATCAGCCCAGACAACTGGCCTGTCCCGACTGTTTTCAGCTTAATGGCTGAAACACCAAAACAGCCAAATGATGATCATGCACACGCTCAGAAATAAAAAGCTTCTAAATGTGAGCGCTTGGGTTTCAGTCTGGAGCTCTGCTGGTTTATCTAGAAATACGAGGTCGCTTCAGAAAGTCCTCGGCCTCATCGGACAGCGTCGCAGGAGGAGGATGACTGATGCACAGTTGTTCAGTGTCGTCTCCTTTAACTTCAATGCACTTTGAAGAACTTCACATCCTCCAGGTTCTCCTGCAGAAGTCAGATGATGCAGGTTGACTTGTTCATGGGGCGATAGTTTAAAGACTGTTTCTACCGTCTGTGCTGTGATATAAGGCTTCATAGTGGACAAGAAATGGGAGTTACGCCACGAGTTGTTGGGTTTCTGAGGCACCCTTCAATATCTATGATCTCTGCAAGGTTTGCTTACATTGCAGGGGAAACACTGACTGACTAACGTGTTGTCTTCGTTGTATTTAACTAAATAATTCTCTTTCCACAGGCGGAGATAGTCAAGAGATTGAACGGGATCTGCGCACAAGTCCTCCCCTACCTGTCTCAGGAGGTGAGCG